TTGTTGGGCTCCCATCTCCTTGAAGAACTTGTAAAGCTGGGATTTCTTGCACATAATCTATTTATCCTGGAAGCCACATTTTGTTCCCCTTGCCTTGTTTCAGCCTTTCTTTAAAAAACCACCACACCCGTTGCATTCTGCTATTTCTGTACCATCTTTCTTTCTTTTTTGTAACCTGATTTGTAGAATAGTAAATGCAGCTGCAGCAAGAGTAGGTTCAACAAGAACTTTAAAAAAGCATTTTCAGGGACCCTGAGCTTTTTATGGAAAGCATTCTCTTTGCCCTTTCTATCTCTAATGCTTCCTGTTTGGTGTAACATGATGGTTTCAGTGATGAATTGTTCGTTATTTCAGGGCTTTAATTACTGGTTTTTATACTGTACATACCTCTTGTAAAATAATACTGTTTCACACTATGAAAGAAAGAGGAAATTAATAATTAACCCTATCCTCATAGTAATGTCAGAAGCGTTGGAATGGGAAGGAAGCAGAAACTGCAGGGGGAAATTTTTAAGAGACTTCAATACACCCATGTTAATCTGCTAGAGAAAAACACTTTAACATACTAGCACTTCTCAGAATGCCAAAGTCTCATCCCAGTTGCCATTTTTATTTCCTCCCACATCATTCTTTTCAAATGGAGAAAAGCCAACATTATTATCCTATCTGAACTGGGAAGATGCCTGTTTCTTTAACTCCTGTTTCAGTTGTGTAGCCCATGGAGGTGATCTTTTTTCCAATGGAGGGAAATCTTGCCTCCTGGGTCCTTAGCTCAAGTCAACCATTACAGTAGCACTTTCTCTCGAAGCTAGAAATGCACTTTCTTGTTCATTTAGCTTCCAGTGTCCTCTTGTTTATTTATGGTTTGTTATGGTCAAATTTTTAGTGTCATGGTGGTTAGAACTTACTGTCTTTCATCCCGTACTTGACAGTTCCACACAATATAGCAATGTATTCCCATGGGCATATTAGGAAAAGCATCTGAATGAAAAAAATCTCAGCTTGCCACAATCACATATAGGTGTCATTCCACAATAATGTTTGTATTGTAATGACAGTATGGCACCATGGCAACTGAAGAACTTTTCAGTGCATTCATTTTCATATTGATTTTTCTTTGCTGCTGATCCTCATGCATCTTTTCTGGAAAGAAAGATTTATAAAAACAACTGTGTGTACATGAAAATGCTGTTGATTTGTTAAATGTTATTTTTATGGAAGTGAGGGCTAAGAAAGCTTCGTTGATACTCAACTGATGGACACTAAGCAATGAGACATAACAATTGGCCAGCTTTGAGGCAGAAAGGAAGAATGAGAGAGCAGTGACTGAGTTTAATGCTGCAAATTCTAAACATGCAGAAGGATGGCTACGTGAGTTAAAATAATTTGAATATTAGTATACCTGTTTGATTTGCATATTTTTGTAGATCTAGTAAACTGCCTAAAATCTATGGAAGTAGGCAATATATAAAGTTTTGTAATGAATAAATAACCTTTATTTATCTTTAAAAATGAAGATGAAATAGAAATGAAGCAAATTTATTTTAAGCTGAGTTTTAAAAGTTTGAGAAACAGAAAGATTGTGGTAGGGAAATGCCCATCACTAAGGTTTCAGTGGCCCTTTGCTGAACAATAATGACCTGTGAACCTTCAACGTAAAAAAATCTTGGATAGGAGGACTGGCATTGCTAGATAATAAATAAAATCCTACCTTGTTATGCAGAACCTTTGTTTTACTTCTGCAACCTGCTGTTTGCAGAAAAGCAGTGCCTTGCAGAAAAACTGTGCATTCCAGCAGAGAGACAACAAATGTACAACTGAAAGAATTAAAGCTATAATAAATAGAGTGGGAAGGCAAATGGCATTAAGAACAACAGCCAGACTTTGTCAGGTTTATATTTATTCATTCTTATCTTATTTAGGATTTAGCTCATCAGATTTTGACCCACCTATAGAATTTAGCTCATCAGATTTTGTCCCACCGATTGACTTGAATCCGGACATTGTCATGCTTAAGACTTTGACTCACTGAAGTCAATGCCCCATTTAATTTTATAGGTTTATACTATTATCCAGTCCGATATATTTAATGGTAATGTTGTTTTAGAAAGCTGAAGTGGGTTACCAAGTGAAATTATCATGGACCTTTACATTTCTGACATGCCATGAAATGGGCAGTTCATGCTGAACTTCATTGTGCTGAAACCACAATCAAGCAACCTTATCAGCAAATCCTTTTCAATGACACAAATAAATAAAGCAGAACTGAAAACACACACACATTAATCACATAACTCTTTCCACTCAGGAAAGGCAGCTGGGAAGCAGTGGGATCTTTGAAATGTACACAGGCAGCATTTTAAATTAAATGATGAAGATAAACAGAAATATAGGTTGTTTATCAAACAAAGATGACAATTGTGATTGAAAATCAGGCCAGTAGTAAGGATGGCTGGGAAGTTTTACTCGCAAAGGCAGTGAGGATATTCAGTTACACTTACAGAGAGCCTCCATTAGAACTGATTTAGAGTTACAAAGCAAAGTAATTGGATGAAAGGAGGGAGGTAAATGCTGCTAACAACTAAAAGATGGTGTAGTTTTTTTTTTTTTAAATAAAATGTTACGAGAGTTGCAGAAAGCCACATCTTCTAAAAGAAATAAAATATTTAGGGCTTCCTTTATTAAAAGCACTATTTAACTACCATAAGTTCCTCTATGTCCATGAGGATTTGTTTAGTGTTTCTGAAGCAAAAGGATTAAGTAACAAATCCATTTGGTTTCAGTATAGAATGGAAAGCAGCTGGTATTTCTTAAATATGTGTGTGTGCCTTCAAATCAGTGTTGGCTCTTGGCAAGTGCCTGGCCAAGTCTCTGCTATTTTCTTGGCAAGATTTCAGAAGTGGTTTGCCATTGCCTGCTTACTAGGGCTGAGAGACAGTAACCAGCTCAAGGTCATCTATCTAAGGTAGGACAAGAACTCCCACTCTCCCAGTTTCTAGCCTGTTGCTGTAACCACTACACCAAACTGGCTCTCATTTCTTAAATATAGCAACAAAGAAAGTACCCAGTGGAGTTTTCTTATGCATAGTATAATAAATAGTATTGCCTACTTTTTGAGCTACAAGAAACCCTGGTTTATTATCTCCTGATAGTCCATCCATTCATATTTCTCTGTCAGATTCTATTTCCAAGGGACTAGAAAGTATAAGGGAGACACTTTTTGTGGCATGATATTAAGAACACTGAAAGAGATTAATGATCCTCTAAAAATATTGCATATTTTTATTACCAAGGTCACACAACCTCAAGCCAGCCACATTATATAGTCAGCTGGATACATTAATGCACTGAAAATGTGGGAAGTTCACTAAGATGGAATACATGGAAAAAGCAAATAATTTTTACCTCATTAACTCAAATCATAGAATCATAGATAGAACCATAGATAGAAGCATAGAATCACAGGTAGAATCATAGGTGGAATCATAGAATCATGGAATCATAGGTAGAATCATAGAACTGTAGACAGAATCACAGATAAAATCATAGAATCATAGATAGAACCATTGAACCATAGAAGCATAGAATCATAGATAGAATCATAGAAACATAGATAGAAGCATAGAATCACAGGTAGAATCATAGGTGAAATCATAGAATCATGAAATCATAGGTAGAATCATAGAAGTGTAGACAGAATCACAGATAAAATCATAGAAACATAGATAGAACCATAGAATCATAGTTCTGGTATTCATTATCAGGAATGCTCAGAATGTGAGCAGTGAGGATATCTGCCTCCACTCTGCAGTTTTAAAGGTCTGGGCTACTGCATTTATTTTGTATATGGCTGCAGTAGTGAAGTCTTTGGTACACGTGGTTGAATGTGCAGTGATTTCCACATGAGGCAGGACTCCGCATTAGCAGCCTCCTCCCTTACATGTAGATCCAACAGCAGCTGCCAACATCAGTTCAGTAACAGTGGCAGGTGAATTATCTGGAGTCCTTGTGTGTCAAGAGCTCTGGACAATGGACTCTGTCTCAAAGAACTTATCTTAATCTAGATATCTCTTCTAAGGAGTGAAGAAACAAGTGATGAAAGCATTAAAGCTGCTGGGGTCTAACTTGTGCCAAAACTGTCATTCTCTATTTCATTCAAGGTTTTGTATCTGAAATGGATTCCCTTGTTCCTTAATGCCTCAGTGCATTACTTATGTAACTATATACCTATGTAATGTCTATCATTTACAACTTGTTCTTGAATTACTTAGTGTACCCATTTGAGAGAGAGAGAGAGAGAGAGAGAGAGAGAGAGCGAGAGAGAGCGCTCAGAGGGAGTGGGATGTTACAGCCAGAATTGGGCCCATCTATGACCTCTTGAGGTATAAAGTCTACTTCCTTTTAAGAACTTTAAAATAAAAATAAACCAGGAATTTTTT